TATGTGTTACAAACAAAGTCTCAGTTACTCGGGGCTGTGTATACAAAAGAAATAAGACAGTATTAGTGTGTAAAATACAGGGTAATTAAGAGTGTTAAGAAAGAATATTGTCTTCATCTCTCTTTTTTTTCCCAATTGGAACAAAAAGGAAACAGTATGAAAAATCACTCTTGCTTGCTATATTGACATAATATTTCCTTTTATACTGGTGAACAGGTAACATATTTCCAGTGTTTTAGCTACCTAGTCAGAGTGTTCTAAATCATTGAAAAGTATCATACAAAAACATTTAAAAACTTAAGAAATTCTCAAATATTTTTTCACCTTCTTTTGCCTCCACCATCTCTGCTTGCCCATTCCCACTTTTTTGTTATATGCACTTTAATGAACTTCATGCTACTCAATATCATCATTATTCAGGTCTTGATGCAACTTCTGCTGTGTGGAGCTAGACCATTTTAGTAAATTTTAATAGGCTTAGACTTTAGTAACATCAGTTGTGTAATGTGTATATCCTCCTGTGGAGCTTATTCCTACAGGAACTCAGCAAAGCCTTTGTTGGGTTTACATTAATAAGACTTTTTTTTCCCACTGCAGTGCTATATGAAGACTTTCAGAAGACTTAAGAGTAACTTTATGAGGAAAACAAAAAGGACAAATATTGGTAGTCTATTAGAAATCAAGAATTCAAAAGAGAATGAGCTCTTTTACAGTTCCAAACCCCTTAACACAGTCAGAAAAATGACCTGTTCCTCAAGGCTTAACTGTGCAACTATTAGATTGTTTAGCATGTGTTGACAGGATCCAGGAGGAGCATGATCTGACCTCATACTGATGCTCCTGAACTCTTAGATGTGTAAATAAAAGCTATTTTTTAGTAGCTTGTTTGTGTGGCATAAGGGACATGCTGCCCTTTAGATTTGTTCCGTATGTTGTTCTGGAGCTCTCCTGTAGCTCCTACCTTTCTTCATCTGTATGCTCGCTTAAGTTCAATGACCTCCTTTTTCACCAAATCTGTATTCTGCCTTACTTCTTAAATTTGCAAAAGAGGAGTTCTGACTATGCTTATGTTGCCTGTTTAAGCACAGGCCAGAAAGGAGTTTAAAACAGCAGCGCCACATTTCCACACCACGATCAGCAGAGTATCTTGTTTCTCTGTACAGTACAGTCACAATAGAAGCAGCCCAAGGTTAGATATTTTTAGTAGTCCATCAGCACTTGCTTCATAAACCTTTATGTCATAAGAAGGGTTGCCAACAATATTGTCCATGTTATGTTGCCTGTATTGTTTTTCAAACATCAATGTGAAAAAGCAGAAAAATTGGGTCATCTGCAGAACAACTGACTCACCCACACCTCCCTCCTCCAGTAAATTACTCTCTATCTGAGTAGATATGATCTTATTTTGGTTTTGGAAGTTTTCTTTACCATTTTTCTGAAGGATGTTACATTTTATACTAAGCTTCTATCATTAACAATAACTGTTTCATAGTCTCCTAAGCCATAACTATGGTATATATATTTTTCATTAAAATCTAGTAGCAGACTTTTTTTTGAGTGGGGATGAATCTGTGATCAAATGTGAACAACAAATGTGAATTGAAATGCCTTATTTTACAAGCTCTAGAAATCTGTTCTAAGCCTTATGACCTGGAATTGCCAGATTCCATATATGTCTTAAGTTACTATAACTTCATAGCACTAAATTTCTCTCCAAGCTACTATAAACAGTGGTAAATTTAACTCCTGTTGCTTTGTAATCTGTCTTTGATTTCTGTTTTCTGCCTTAATTATTGCAAGCAGAACGATTAAGGTGAAGATCCAGGAATTAGATCCAATAATATGTTTAATGATCTTTTAGATCAATTATACGTCTATTTTTAAAGAAAAACCTTAAAGTGTCATAGTATTAAAGGTCCATTTTACTATTTTAGCACATTATCTGATGTGAACTAACTCACAAATTATTCTATATGTCTATAACTGCTCTTCAGGCATACTCTTTACATTTCCCTACAGTTAGAGAAACTTATTCAACAACATATTCACAGATTAGCAAGGTACAATAACCCTGGAAAAAACAACTTTCATTTATATTGTATGACTATTCTTTTGTCACTTTCTTGGACTCATTGCAGACTTGACGTTCTTGAGAAACAGAGGAAACTGTTGCAAACAGGTTTGGTTCCTATGTGCATTTTTCCCTCAGTTTCCTTAGTTAATTGCATGAGCAATGCAGTGTCCCAAGAATACTGCATCAAGCAAAGGTGGAAAGACAATGAAAGAAGCATGTCATAATTAAAAAATATAATTTCTCTCTTTATCTTTTTTTCTTTTGCTTTTTTTAATCAAAGAAAAAGTTTTCCTAGGCATGCTTCACTCATAAATAAAAACAGCTGGAAAGTGTTACTAGGGGGAAAAAAAAAAAATGTTTTGCTCTATTAAGTCAGTACACAAGTCCTTAGAAGCTCTTACTGCTAAGTTATGTGCTACTTGAATTATTATAACACTCATGAAGCCCAGAACGATGGTTTGTAATTAAGTGTTTGTAATTAAGTGATTTTATGTGGAAAGAAGAAATGAAATCTTACTTTGCCAAGTTAGTGAGTCCAGACAGACTTTCAGCATCAATTTTGCTGATTTTGTTGCCATCAAGGTGAAGTTCAGTAAGGGATGGGGGAAGGCCTGAAAGAAATAACACCATCAAATAACTTCTGATAAAACTGGATTATGTTTTTTAAGGGACTTGTGTTATATTGAGGTTCTTTTACAGTAACAAAAAGGTTTTTACTAGACATGTCCAAGAACAATTAATTGAATGAAATAAGGAACTTTCACAATCAGGAAAACTGAAAAAAGCTAGTAACAATTTATTTGGAATGAAATAAGACCAAGCTACTAACGTCGTCATCCTAGAAAGGTTAATTCTTAAAAAATAGTTAAATGAAATTCTTTACAGATAGGAATTCTAGCATTCATGATTATGTAAATGGGACATATATGGTAGTTTAAGAGAAAGAGCTTTCATTTTAGCCAGACTAGCAACATGCATAAATCTACAGACATTTGGCACCTAGATATTTAACAAATAATAGCAGCAGAAAATGAGATTATAAAGATGAGGTAAAATAATTTCAATGTTATTTTAGGTAGAGCACATATGAATTTGCGAATTCCATTTATCAGAAAAATAAAATTGGAAACAGATATTTTAACTATCTGAGGTCCCTCAGAGGAACATCCAAAACAGGAAATGTGGGAAGAAAGAAATAAAAGCTAGTATTAACTTTCAAAAACTTTCCAGCTATTTCAAAACAATCTGCTGGCTGAAGTATGAATCAATTGAATATAATTTCCTCTGGATTGGAACTATTCTGTTTTGGGGTTTTTTTAATAGATTATATTGAAATTGTTCTTATTTTGTAGAAATTTGTAATAAAGTACTATTAAAAATAGCAAATGTTTCTGTTTTGTATAGAAATAGTATTTTTGGCTTCAAACCTACAGACTCGTGGAGGGCTGATTTTATGCTTATAGACCTTCAGTTAATTCTGTATGAGTTTACATCTGCATAATGTTGATAAGGCTCACAAACCGAGGTTGAAGGATGAAAACATTCTTCTTCCTTATATTTCAGTTATGACACAAGAAAAGTAAAATAACATTAAATGGGTTGTTTTTGACAGTATACCTCTTCTGAAGCTTCTCATAATAGACAAATCAAATTTTCCAAACCAGTAAAAACCAACAGATCAAAAAATGAAGTAGTCAAGGAATGGATACGTTAAGAAATTACTCAAAAGGCTTCCATAATTTATTTTTTTTTTCCCCAGCTGAGTAGAAGTCACTATATTATACCTGTGCAAACCTCTGAAATATTCATTGAAATTTTTACCTTTAGGGATGTTAGTAATGTTGGTGTCTGCAATACGGATGTAGGAGAGTCTCTTCATCCCCTGAAAAGCTCCATTTTCAATGCCTGAACTCTTGATTGGATTAGTGCCTAGTTCTGCCAAAAAAACACATGGTTGTGAGCTGTGATGCTGTGTAGGTATCTTTAATCTTCAAGTTAAAGCTAATTTGGAGGTACATTTTATTGGAACATTTCTTGGTTTTCTACACAAAATCGTTGACTTGAATAAAAAGAAAAAAATATTGAAAAAACACTGAGTTGATTTTGTTATTATTTCTAATGCTCATACCTAAGACAATAACTTGATTCAGTCCATTAAAGACAGCTTTCCTCAACTTGGAGATCTCATTCTCATGAGCCCGTATCTCCTGAAGAGACTTCGGCATGTTTTCTGGGAGTTCCTTCAGGCTGTTCTTCGACAGGTAGAGTCTTTCTAGTTTCTTCAGAGGAGCAAAAGCTAATGGACTTATTTTGCTGATTTTGTTGTTAACAAGGATCAATGCCTGTGGAGTAATAATGATCGAGATGTCAGGTGATCACTAGAGAAATTATTTTAAGAATGAAACATTAAAAATTATTTTTATTTTCTAGTGTTTTTAGGTGTCTTTTGGTGGCCAATCTAGTGAGCTGAAGAAAATGCAATGCAGTACTAAAACAAATAGATTAAGAACTCAAAACAGTGAAGGATAAACAAGGCCTACATTACAAACACAAGTGTTATTTAATTGCTGAGGTATATGCAGCTTCTATTAACATCCATAACTTGTATTGAAGAATAAGTACAACTCTTTCACTTGAAAGCTGTGAAGTCATTCACATAAACCCAACATTATAAGTTTTATTTGCTTTTTTTCCCCTAGGTTCGTTTATTCCGAGGATACTTTTATACCTTACCCATCACCACATGACCATCCTAACCAGTTTTTCCTGAACAGAATATTCTGTTACTCAATACAGTGAAGGCACAGCCTAGCTTAATAAAAATATGTGTATTATTACCTCTTTGCTGTCAGTCTTATAGACTCCACTTGTTAGATTTCCGTCTGATAATAACCACATTTTTGCAGAGACATGAGCTATTATTTTGCTAAGCAGAACTTGGTATGGAACGGGAGCAAGCTGAAGCTTCGTACTCTAAGTCTTGCAGTTAGGGATCGTGGACCGTATAAATTCTGCCTGCTATGTAGGTGTCTGATCTGATTCTCAGAATTGTGACATCTAGACTCAGTGTAACTCCAAGTAAATTAGCTCTCTATACTGTTGGGAGAGAAAGGCCTCCACAAAAGCTCTATTACCTGTAACAATTTGTCTCTGTATTCCTCTTGAATTTTACATTGTTGCTAACTCTCTTTTTGATTAAAGGACCATGACATAAAAAGGGAAATGAAAGTCCAGTTACTGTCACAACAGTAATGCAGTTAATTGAAAGGATTTCAGATATGATACATATGAGAATAAATCTTATCATTCTATTTGTTTGCTATCTACTTATCAGACTTACAGTGCTTCATGTTTGTGCAGTGAATTAGGTAGAATGGGCTGTATAAATATAGATATAAATATCTATTTATATTTATTACTAGATAATAGCTGTAGAACATCTTTGTTCATTAACTGCATTATGTTGTTTTCAGAAACAGAAGACAATAGTTGCTCCTAAACCACAAATTTTTGTGTTGCATATACTATAGTTAGCATTAACTGTATTTTAATATATTTTTAATATTTTCATAATTATATTTTAGTCTGTTTCTTGGAGAAAAATTGAGCATTCATCTTTTTCCACAATCAGTTCAGTATTAAAACAGTGCCAAGAATTGTATGAGCATCTGTGACAGCACCTTACCATCGTGAAAACTGAAAGAGAGGTGGATTTGTGTTTTTTTCCCTAATGGACTCCTCTTGCAGATCATTCTGAGCAAAGCAAGCAGTATGTTCTGTATGTGGTTTCACTGAGTACACATAAATCTGAGCATATCTGGTTTTAATTTTGTATGCTAGCTAGCAATAACACATTTGCAAGAGGAGGTAGAAAAGGTCACTCACAGTTCAGCAGAGTATTTCCCTAACAATAAGCTTCACTCAAAACAAATATATGGGTCAGTGGAAACCATGGCCCCAACTCTCTTTCATTTGAGCCCGAGCTATAAGAACTGCCACAAGAACATATGTGGTACACACAGGGTGTGGTTTCCTGAAAGTCACCACTGCCAGAATCGTAATACAGACGTAAGTTCTGCCTATAGTGTAATACAGTTACCCATACAACATTAGGACATGAGAAAGAATTCAATTATTATGACGGGTGCAGCTTGAATTATCAGATGAGTCTCTTTCATTGTTATCATAATAACTAAATAACTGAATGTGCTACAACTAATTACATATTTTTTGTTTTTAATTTTGCCAGGGATTTCTTTTCCATAGATAATGAAGTCAACATTCAATGAGTTTAGACTCATCAGTACTTGAAATTTTTGTCCTAATTCCTGCTTTGTGCTATGTGGTCGTTTATTTCAGCTACAAATTTGCCTTTTCAGCTAAAAATCTGCCTTATCTTTTTTTCTTTTTTATTTGATCTGGTTTAACTTTGTTGCCTTTTAGATAAAAAACATTTGGGCTATATTATCACAGTTGATGATCTGATGTGAAATATTTCTCGCTGGAAAGGTATATATTCAGTTGGGCCCTGCAATGTAAATACTCTGTGAGTAATTGGTGTTAATAAGATTGTTACAGCTCTTCAGAGCAGAACTGCTAGTCCTGACCAAAACAATAAATTGTCTAAGTATCCAGGATTAATCTGTTCTACTTTGCCAGTGCTTTCTCCTGAATATGATCATGTTATATTGGGGAAACACACAGAAATATTGTTTAATTTAAACATTCAGAAAGTCTTGTACTTTGAAATGATAGTAGCTTTCAAAGGTATGTTTGGAAATACTGATTTCACAGTGGGAACGTATGCATGGTGGTGTAAGGTGGGAAGGTATCACAAGCCTACAATTTTCAACGTTTGTTCTAGAATAATATTTCCCACTTACACTCCTGTGTGCAAGTCCCTGCTTCTGGTACTTTAAACCTGCATTATTTTTCCATACTGCTGTGCAGCTGTAAAGAAGAAAAAACAAACCTACATATCAGAATTTGCAAGAAAAGTTTTACTATCTCCCAGAGCAACAGCAAATGATGAGAATAACACACCAGCGTAGCACCTGGCAAGCCATACCCCTGGGTTCCTTTCCCACTTCACAATAACTCTATTATATGCAAGACTTAAAGAACGAAGTTATTAGCCTTGAAGCAATGCTATTTACTTTCCTCAGAATGTGCCCCGTATGGTTTGCATGTAACAAAAGTTAAAACAAAACAGAATAAACTAAGATTGAAAACTCAGGGGAATTTAGAGGTCAGTGAAAACAGGAACCAGAGGAGAAAAACCTAGGGAAAACATCTGCAGGCAATACTATTGAGGAAGGGATGCTAGGCAAAAAGATGTCACATGGACTAGCTTTCCTGAATAAAGCCCAGACGGCACGATAGGGCATTATATTAATCTTGTTAAAGGACATATAAAAATTTTATACAGAGCAAGAAGTACTTGGAGGGAAAAATAAGGGTCAACTTGAAAGATGCACAGATAGCATTTGCAGTGGTACTAGTATGAAATGATTTGGCTGATTGAAGAAAGGTGATAGCCTAGAGTAATACTGGAGTCAGAGGGACTGATATTTTTTTTCAAAAATCTGTCTTCTTCCACACTTCTATTTTTGGCAGAGAAAAATGTATTTCTTTTAAAATAAATGTACACACACACACACCTCCCCCCCCCCCCCCCCCCAAAAAAAAAAAAAAAAAGGAAAAAAATGTGCAGTTTATCAACAATTCACAATGCACAGCTTTCAGCAAGAACTGGCAGGGTGTTCATAGAATCATAGAATCATAGA